AGAAAGAAAGAAAGGAGGAAGGGTGGAGGAAGAAGGAAATGTATGAAGTGATGTTATCAGGATGGTGGAAAGAGTCCGCAACCACCAAGCTTATTTTCATTCTCACGTCTCTTAGCTCTCAGTCGATCTCTTCCTTGACTACCAAGCTGTTCTCGGCACTTTTCAACGTTAGCCATGCAGCTGCCAGTACCAGGCCATTTCTATCTTCCAATCTGTAGTTTGCTACTTACGACAGGGCTAGAAATGTTATAATCAGCCACACTGCGTGTGAACAGCCACTCATGTGAGGGCTCTCCTATGAGTAAAGTGAATCCTCTTTAACGTATATCTTTCTCTTTAACCTCTGTTTTGCCTGCTTAGAGGCTGTTTTGCTGACGAATGTGCCAGATACAGGAGTTACCAAAAGATGGAGATGTTCCTGGGCTCTAGGGCTTTCCTGGTGGCCCAAATGTCTGGTAAAGAATCAGTCTGTAACCCAGCAGGAGAAGGGGACGACAGAAGACAAGATGGTTGGATGGCATCACAGACTCAATGCACATGAGTTGAGCAAGCTCCGGGAGATGTTGAAAGACAGGGAAGCCTGGAGTGCCGCAGTCCATGGGGTCACAAACAGCCAGACACAACTGAGCGACTGAGCAACAGGAAAAACAACAACCCAGGCAACCCCAGTTCGATCCCTGGGTCAGGAAGATCGCCTGCAGAAGGGAATGGCAACCCACTCCAGGGTTCTGGCCTGGAGAATTCCGTGGACAGAGGAGCCTGGCGGGCTATAGTCCATGGGGTCGCAAAGAGTCAGACATGATTGAGCAACTAACACTTTCATTTATCCACTGGGCTCTACCCATGAATACTAGGTCTCTGGGCTAAAGCTAGAATCAACCAACATAAAATTCCAGATCCCAGGAGTTTACTTACTTGCAAATAGTATAAGAAAATATCACTAGTGAATATATTTATAAAAAAGAAAAGAACTGCTAACTTCTTATCCAAGACATTATGAACAGCTTCGCTAATTGGGTCACTCACAGAACATCCTATCAGTTTCAAAGAATATATTCCTTTCTCATTTTGTATTTTTATTAACTTTGATTTTTTTAAATCCTCCCAAAAAGTATACTGCAAGTTTTATTTTAAACTTTTTTTAAGGTTTCCAAAACAGAAACTCAAGTGCAACAGACATAGCCTCTTTCTACACAGTAATCCCCAATGTAAAAAAAAAAAAAAACAAAACCTGAAATATTAGTTGTAAAACCCTTTTACATCTTAATTTATGTAACTTCTTTCTGTATTCATTCTCTATGAAAAATAAAAGTTAGTTCTCAAGACCAGAGCTAGAACTGGGGCACACAAACTGAAAAAAGTCACCCACGGGCACTGCAGGTCCTGAAATAAAGAAGAGGCAGGTGGGTGCATCCACTACAATGAATGATAAACAAGGAACGGAAACTCTCACTTTACATCAGGATCAATGTTTATCTGCTTTAGTATCTTAAAAACTGTGACTAAAACAACACTCATTCGAGGACAGTCATTTCAGAAACAGGTATCAGTAGTTCAAAGATGAAATATTCATTCCCACCTCACCAATAATTTTCTGCTTAGTTTAAGAAAAGCGTACAAAGGTCCCTGTGCCTTGGCTTCCTCATCTTTTAAACAAACATGATATTCCCTTACATCTACTTAATTTGCAGAAAAAGATGATGCTTTGGCTTCTAGAAACAACTATAGATGTATAGGCTTTCACCATGATGAGGTCTATCTCCATCTTTTCGAACACATAACTTAATCCAAAGGCAAATAAGACCGTATCATCGAGGGTGAAATTATGAACATCATGAAGAAGATTGGAAGAAAAAGTTTTCTCTCTTCCTCATCACAGCAGGTAAATAAATCCATCATATTTCATAGCTGGCTGTCCTTTTGATGCCCTGTTGGAAATGCCAGTCCACTGCGGAGACTAGAGAAATGCAATAAAAGTCATCGCCACAAAATCATTATGACAGCCATAAATACAGCTTCAGATAAAATAAAATCGGCCACCTCTACAAATGAGGAGTACGCGTGCACCTGTGTGTGTGCCTGTGTGTTGTGTGTGATGTACATCGGACAAAAGACCTGAGTAAAATGGTGGGTTAGAAAAATCCATCTTCACTGCTGGAAAAATAACCAACAGTGTGCACTACAAGGGATATAAAATATCACATTAATGTTAGAGGGACAGTAGCATATTTTCTATTCGTGACATAAATCAAACTCTTAGCTATTGGGAGAAAGGCAAACATGTACGTGAAATACAACTGAGCCCTGATCTTGTATGAAATAAATATTATTCTTTCCCTCCTTTCAAATTCCGACATTATGCAAAAAAATCCCTGAAAGTAGCAAGATCTAGTTTCGCAAAAGTCTTACGAACTTTCTGGATGTTCCTAAACTATGTGTTTGGCTAAATGGCTTCCGCAACACAGATAAATTTCACAATTCACAGGTTGGCCTCAGAAACTGCAGCCACAGCGAGAACCCAGATACGTGTTCCGCTCACAGCTTCCTCTGTCCCATCAAATCATGTACCCTGATCCTTTTCATTCAGCTATGTAAAGGAAAGACTCCTTAAAACTTTCATCATTACTACATTTTTCTCTTCTGAGTTTGTTCCTTCCACTCCCAATCTTCATACCTATCAACTCCAGTCTCAGCTTTCATTCATATTAAAAACGAACACAAAAAACGCTCCAGGAAACAGGCAGATGATGTGTATTGGCACACTTTAGCAGGGAATTCTCACAAGACTAACAACACTAGTCCTCGCGGACTGCAGCGCCCTCAGAGGCAGGCGGAGAAACCTGATTATCTACGTGATTCACCAACTAATGTGTATTCCCTTTCCTTAAGTGTTGTGTTTTCTTTAAGATGTAAGCCACGGCCAGACTATCGATCTTGTTATCAGAACGAGGGATCAGAACCTGAAAATTATACTTGCCAGAGCCAGTGAAAAATGAAATTACCACTAGAGTGTGCTGGAATTCGTCCCAAAGGTTACCCATTTCTATCACATTTTTTTCTCTAAATATGATTCCCTGTAGTGGTGTCACACATGGTTGTAAACCCAAAATATATTCTAATCCTTTAAAAGATGAAAATAACAACACTAACATTCATACATTTAAAGTCCTTTCATGTTAACAAAATGAACTAAAAGAAATACACCACTATAAACAGTACATTCTGGATATTCATTGGCTGGCGTGCCTTATATATGCTACTAAGGGTACAGAATGACCCCGAAACATTAAATGATACTCCAAATCTCATTTTGAAGACACCTTCTTCAAGGCGTCTGTTTTCTGTTTTCACAAAGGTGGACATGCCTAGAACTATCAAACTATCCCATTCTTATCCCTCCCACCCTCACACCCTGATAAATGCGCTATGCCTCAAGAGTTCATAAGAGCACTGCTTTCCTCTCTCTACCCATATATGTGTCAGGTTTTTGTCATCTTACCAGAGACGCCAAGATAAAGTAAAAACTATTGAATCTCAAGATGCACTAGCAAGAGAACAGAATCCTATCACTACATTTAACTTTAAAATGAAAGTAAAAGTTTTTTTCTCAGTTGTTAAAGCTATAAAAAAAGCAGACATTTTCCTTTGACTGAAGCTATACCAATAACCTCAATCTAAGTGCCATTATGACCATGAATATCACTTAAATGCTAATGTGATAGATACAAGGAAGAGAGTTCTTAAGTCAGAAACCTTTCAAAAGACATTATGTTGGTCATAAGAAGCTACTGGATACTGCTCTCATTGCTGTGAACAATCGATTCAAATCAACATGAAAAAATAAGCCCTAATGGGCAAAGTATGCTTAAATTTAACTCAGGTAATATTCAAACACCAAGTCCCAGATACAAGGAAAAGGGGAAACATGGTACAAGAGTGTCTCTCAGGAAAGGAACCATTCCAGGATTTGAGACAATGTGTGTTTGGCACAGTCCAGTGTTCACGATTTCCCATTAGCCACAACTTTCTCCAGCACTGAAGTGAAATGGCAAAAGAAATGAGGAACATAAACCAAAACTGTTACGTGCTCTTCATTGTCAAGTCTGGAAAGATCTCGCTGAGGGCCAATTACGTTGTGAAGGTAAGGCCTTGAGAAGGAGTGAGGGATGGGGGGAAAAAAACGGAAGTTTTACAAGGAACTCTTCTGAAAAATGGTTTACGATGGTAAAACAGGTAGAATGGCTTCCTTCTCCATCTTTCCTGTCAAGTTGGGGGGGGGGGTTGCTGTTGCGATTCTTTTGTTCTTTAATTAACTTCCCTCTTTGTGGGGCTTGCTGCAGTTTGCTGATGTAGTGCCCAACTTCTACCTTCCTTTGGCGACTCTTATTAACGGACTGGCAATGGCCGGGCAAAATGCACTTAAGAAAGAAGAAATCACCTCCTCTTGCCAAGACGCACATGTGTCCAGTACCTGAGAAAGAGCTCCACGGTCGCCGGCCAAGAGAAATTCCAGTTTAACCTCCCCTTTCCAAATCCACTGCAAATAAGTATATGTATGCGTGCCACTTGCGGAGAATCCGCCTGACTCACCCCCGTTTTCGGCGAGCCAGGGAGGGATGTGAATATCAGTCTCCCGGCTGGCAGTCAAGTGGGGGCCGCGGTCCCGGTGGCCCCGAAAGTCCCCTCCCCCCCACCCGCCGGCCTCCCCCGCGACTGTGTTTGGGGATGTCTCCGTCTCTGGCAGGTGCCCGGCCACGCTGAGGCCACCAAAGCTCACCCAGGCAGGAACACACGTGTCCTGCGCCGGAGCCCAGCCCCCGGGATACAATGGCCCCACAGCCCGGGCAGGCACGCCAGGTGAGCGCTGCGGAGGGGGTCTGGGACGGGGGCAGGCTTGACCCTGCGGGCGCAGCAAACGTCCCCCTCTGAACCCTAAGAAGAAGAAAGTACTTTCCTGCGGAATCTGCTTCCACACTCCGCCGGGCGCCCAGCCCCCGAAGATGCCCGGCCCGCAACTGACCTCTCTCTCTCTCGCGCTCGCTCGCTCGCTCCCCGCGCGCGCCCAGGCCGCCCGCGCCCCCTCCAGGACCTGCCCCGGGCTGACCCTCCTTCCCCGGCCCTGGCCGGGTGCTCACCTCCTGGGGTCCGGCTTCCGTCGCTCGTCCAGCTTGGCGGTTGAGTGTGGGGCTGCAGCAACCGCTGCCGCCGCCGCCTTCGCTGCCACCGCCGCCGCTGCCGCCGCCTCCGAAGCGCTGCCCGGCGCGCCGCCGGGGCTGGAAGCCGGGAGCCCGCGGGAGCCCGGGAGGCGCGGGCCCGGGGCGCGGCGGGGCCGAACCGCGGGAAGTTGTCGGCGTGAGGCGCGGGGCTCGAGCCACCCCCGCCCAAGTAGTCACAACTTTGCCGCCCGGGTGGGTGCGCTCTCCGGGGCGGAGGGAGGCGAGGACCGGGCGAGGGCGCGGGGGCGGGAGGGTCTCCGGAGCCGGCGGGACTGGACCCTGAAAGAGGGGAGCGAGCGAGCGCGGGGGCAGATGTCTACACGGCCCGCGTGGTGCGCGGCGGGTGAGTGTGTGAGAGCGCGGGGCGTCTACTCTACTTTGCCTTCTGCAGCTCCTGCATATTTATGGGGATCGCCGAGGTTCCTGCCGGTAACTACCACTGCAGCGGCGGCGCCCGGCCCGGACGCCCCTCGGGAGCGAGCCCGGGGAGGGGGGTGGATCGGGAGGGCGGCGGTGGCGGAGGCTGTGCCACGAGCGCGAGCCAGCGATCCATATTTAAAGCCGCGACTGGCCTCGGCCGGCCCCCCGGCCCTGCCCTCGCTCGCGCCCGCCCGCCCGGCCCCCACCGCTCCGGGCCGCCGCTCGGCGTCACCAGCCCGGGCATCGCGGCGGCGGGGAGGGGCCTCGGGCCGCACCGCCCCCGGGGGCCCGGGCTCTGCGCGCCGCGTCCGGCTGGAACTGACCGAAGACCCGGCTCCCGACCCGCCGCCTCCGCTTCCCTGGGTTCCCTCCCCCTCTCTCTCTCTCTCTCTCTCTCTCTCTCTCTCTCTCTCTCTGTCTCTGCCTCTGCCTCTGTCTGTCTCTCTTTCTCTCTCTCATGCCCTGAACCGGCTGCTAAGTCCCAGCATTTTTGTCCGGTTTACAAGAGTTCCCCGCCGGGGAGAGCTTCCTCTCTCTTGCAGAACCGAAGTGACTGGGACAGATCACTCTTCAGGCTACTTTTATAAAAGTGGAGGGAAGCAGGTAGAGAGCGCGCTGCCAGCAGTGTGAGGTCGTTGTTCACGTCTAGCACAGGATGTCTGGGGAGAGCGCAGCTGTCAGCCTTGTCCTTCGCTTGTCACTGATGACTTCTGTCTTCCTTAACCAGTTTGGGAAACATCTTTAGTCATCCAAGGGAGTTTCTTGAGGATATAAATGGATTATTGTATTTACTCTGTTCCTAAGGCTAATAGAGGTTTAAGTTCTCTTGGCCAAGCAAGTAATACTACTAATAATATATCAATAACCCAGCCCCATTTTGATCAGTGAAGTAGACCATAAATATACGAACAGACTGTCGGCAGTGACACCGTCTAATATTCTGAATACTGCTAGAGAGGAGCCACTTAATGGTTTTGAGCCACACAATATATGATGTAAGCCCATGTGCATTTCCTATTAATACATATTATATATTTAATATACATGTGGAAGTCACTGACTAAACTGCATCTCTGAGGGTAACCACCGGAACACATAGAGAAATAATGTCACATGCTGACTACCTCCGCCAAAGATTTGTTTCCAAATTCTTTCTTCAATAGCCAGTAAAAGTCGCCCAGTCGTCTGACTCTTTGCGACCCCATGGACTATAGAGTCCATGGACTTTTCCAGGCCAGAATACTGGAGTGGGTAGCCTTTCCCTTCGCCAGGGGCTCTTCCCAACCCAGGGATAAAACCCAGGTCTCCCGCATTGCAGGCGGATTCTTTACCAGCTGAGTCACAAGGGAAGCCCCTTCTTCAATACTAACCTATAATTAATAAGACCCCTAGTGGAGAAAAAATCTGGAGGAAAATAACTTGGGGACAAAAGTCTTCTTTCTAGTATTTAAAACTGGAATAGACATTATTTATTGTACCTCACCAATGCTTGCGAAACAAGTATATACTTGCACCTTTAAAAAAAAAAACCTAGTGTGTTTAAAATCCTTGGTTAGTGCTCAGGAGACACTGGGAATGACCAGAAACTATCTAATGTCTAAAACTGAAATGCATTAATGTCATGTGTCCGGCTGTTGTTACGTCTATGCTCACACATTTTACATGACCCACTGCACTAACATGGGAAATTCAAAAGTTTTTTTTTATTTAAAAATAATGTAAAGATTTTGCCAACATAACTATTCTTTGTTTTTAGACTAATGTTAAAATTAACTTTCAGTCCCTGAGCACACAGTTAGCAAGAATCAGCAACCCCAAAGTAAGTTCCCAGGAAAAGAGAAGCTACTTTTGTATTAAGAATTTGCCATTGTTGTTCAGCTGTTCTTCACACTGTGGATTATGTATTTCAACATAGCTGGCAATTTCTCATTATCATCATGAACCAGCCATGAATGGTTAGCGTTGGTGACTGGGAAAGGAAAAGTCCAAGAAACTTATATTTTCCAATATTCTGCTGCAAAACACATCAAACAGGCCTTTACACAAACCATAAACGTAACCCTTAATGGCATTTATCTATCAAGATGGACAAAATTTTACCCTGAAAGGAGTATGAAGTTGGAGTGTGGGGTAGGAGGCAGGGAGAGAATTAGAGCACTATGTGGTGAGGGGTTGTGTGTCCCTTATATTAATGAGGAAAAAAAGAGTTGTCTTTGGCAAAAAGCCAGCAACCTGTTATCATTCTCATTACTTGATGTTTGTTATCCCACAATTAAAAGCGCAGGTTCCATTTCCTTTCCTATTGACTATTGTCCCGTAATTGAGATGCATGTGTTTTTCTTTTGAAAGGTCATTGATTAACTTTTCTCATTATCTCTGTGTGTGGTCACCTTTGCTATTGCTATTCAGAGCTAGGACAATGAATTCTGAGACCTTTTTTCACTGATCCTAAAACACGCTATGTCCCTTGATTCTCATGAGCCCAAAGAAAGCTTTATTTGTTCATTTTATATTGGGTTTCACACAGCTTGGTGACAAGAAAAATGAACAGAAAAAATTAATGGAATTAGAAAAACAGTATAAGTAATCGTTACTGATAATGATTTATTTGTTTAATAAATAACTCTCTCTGCCAAATGACCTTCTAGGATACTAACCCACTACTTTTTAGCTTATCAATCAAGTTTCTTTGATATCATCCAAGGTCCTTATAGGCACCTAAAGGAAACAAAGATGGGAGGAAGAACCTTTGTCTCAATGACAGGCACCATCTAGTGGCAGCAGGTGATGAAACCTTGTGTCAGCGTGATGTCTCCAGCAAGAATGAAGATGAAAGTTTTTGAATAGGTGGTTCAAGCATTTCTGGTCTTGAAGAAGCATGGTGCTCTTGGATTCTAAAGCAAGAAGGTTGTACGTAGAAAAACAATACAACTAATGGACCCCATGATGATGATTCAAAGAATTAGGCTACAAATCTGACCTGCAGGTAGAATTATTGCCACAAAAAGTTTTCTCAGTCTTTGTGTACTTCGTATAGTCACACCTCTTTATAAAGACCTCAGTGTGTGTTTTTTTTTTCATTTAAAGACCTCTGTATTTAAGTTTCCTCATTATAAAATCAAAAAGAGTGATGGCTCATCACTGAATATTATCTATAAAGGATTTTGTTCAACAAATAGAGCCCATAAATATAAATATTATTTCAGGTTTTTTATTATGCTATTTTACAAAAGAAAAAAGGATAAAAGATATCAATGAATGCTTATCCCTGAGTTACACAAAATTTCAACATTCATACACATCTTATTTGGGGCCCTAAACAAAAGGAGACAGTATAGATTATAAACTTCAAAGAATGATCAGTAATGTTTCTCATTATCAGCTTCTTTTTAAATATATGACTAATTAGTAAATGTATCACAAAAATCTTGCCATATAGAATAGGTATTTTTCTTTGTGCTAGTATTTTGACTTGTAGTTATTTTGTTATTAAACAATATTGCCATCAAATGATCATTGAAGTAGCCAATCTGGAATCGGTTTCATTAACCATTTCAGGATATAAGAGTAAGGAGAGAGAAAATCACCTGTCTTTCCATCCTGGGACTAGTCAGGGATGAAACTGAAGATATAGACAAAGAGAGAAAAACAAAGAGATCACTTAGAAACTTCATTTTTGTTTCACTCACACTCCAGAAATTACATATTCTGTCTGGCAAATTCCTGAATAAATTCAGCCAACCTCAATTAAAATCTGTATTTCCTCCTTCAGATTCCAAGTTTAAAAATAACCATAGTCCCTTTTTAAGAGGAGTAAAGAAAGGTGAACACTGTTTTTGTAAGCTGTCAGCATGGCACGAGCTAGGTAAAATAATTTTATTTGGTTAAACGTGTCATAAGTTGCTTCACAGCTTAAACTGCTAAACTCTCAACCATATCCAACTGTCATTTTAAAAACACATACCTAACATCAAATACTAAGAAAGGTTCTAGCATCTAAAAACAGAAGCCTCTCTCTGTTCACGTCAAGGAAGACAAGTTATTCAGCACTTCTAGACCTCAGTTCCCTCAGTAATAAAATCAAGGAGCTTGAGAGAATCACTCAAAAAAACTATTTCAACAAGATACTAGAATATTTTCTTTAAAAAAAATTTGAATATGTTTGTGATAGAAAAACATGCAACTATTTCAGAAATAGCATTGATATACTTATTATGAATGCTCTGTTTAATAACCTTAGGCCAGAGTTTCAGCCTCTTTCCCCTACAGGAATTATCCTGTATACATCAGCCTAACAACAAGACACAGCCTCTCTGTTTGAAAAGGAAAAAGGAAAATTAAATTGAGCTACTAAGCCACTGAAACCTATGCCCTCTATGATTAAAAAGATTAGTCCGGTTTTAGGTAAGATAGAGAATTACATCAGACTTCTCTACCAAAACCAACTCCCAGGGCCCTTGGACTCTGCTAATCAGTGTGTGTGTGTGCGTGTGTGTGTGTGTGTGTCCCACCAGCCCCGTCAATCAGTGTGTGTGTGTGTGTGTGTGTGTGTCCCACCAGCCCCGTCAATCAGTGTGTGTGTGTGTGTGTGTGTGTGTCCCACCAACCCCGTCAATCAGTGTGTGTGTGTGTGTGTGTGTGTGTGTGTCCCACTAGCCCCGTCAGAGTGTGTGTGTGTGTCCCACCAGCCCCGTCAATCAGTGTGTGTGTGTGTCCCACCAGCCCCGTCAATCAGTGTGTGTGTGTGTGTGTGTGTGTGTGTGTCCCACCAGCCCCGTCCCAGGCACAGACAGGTACTCGTTCTTTTGTATCCTGCTGGCCTCTCGCCTCCTGGAGGATGAACAAGCCCAGATGGCAGCTGCTCGCTCTAAAGTTGCTCTTCCTTTTCTCCTGTGGACTGAGTCACATGGACATGGCTGTTCCACTGAGTGGAGACAGGTTTTCTACAGATTAATGAACCACTGGGTCAAACTGGTCCACGACCATTCTCTCCCCAGACCAGGCCTATCCTGGAGACTACAATACACCCATCCTTTTGCAAATAACTGAACAGCTGATACTTCCAGTACACATCTGCCAGACTGATCTCTTTATAGGAAACACAGCAAGATTGTAATTTGAGTGTTAAAAGCTCCCTATCCTGAGGGAGGAAACATCCTGAGCAAATTTGCCCTTTATGACTTTTCCATTTCCCCTTGCTGACCAGAAGGGGTTCACTTCCACACAGAATGTGAAGCTTGATTGGGTCATCTGTTCAGCACACAAATATTTATTACGAACCTACTATGTGTCAAGGACTTCTTCGAGGTGATGGGTCCCTGAAACAAGTGAAGTTCCAATTTCGTGGAGCTTACAAGTGAACAAATTAACAAGATAATCTCCATTTCCTTGGAATGCAAAATGCAGTAAATGGTACAAATAGGGCGACCAACCATCCCAGCTTATACTTCCAGTTTACCCCTGTCTTTCCTCTGTCATGGCAATAGCCCTCTCCTTCATTCTCAAAAGAGATATGGGTCAGAAGTTATAGACTCACCCTAACTCCAAAAGAAACGAAACACAGTGAGAGGGTAGGGAGAATCATTTGCAAGTGGGTGTCAGAGAGGGCCTCTCTTACTTCGTGATGGTTGAGCACATAGATCTGAATGATAAGATGAATATATTTTAAAATTTTAAAGGCAACTTGACAAACAGCATTTGACACAGAGTCTTACACATAGTAGGAACTCAATAATTATTTATAGAATGATCAATCACATCCATTTTTGTGGAGCATTAAAAAGAGAGAGGCTTACTCAACCAGAATACATTCCTATTAAGACAGACTCAGGCTCCACAAATTCCTTAAAACATCACTTTTCCTAATCTATAACTTCTGAATCATATCTATGTATTTATTTGCATGTACATAAAACATCTCTGGAAGGATAGGATATAAAAGCAACTAAAAGCAGTATTTACCTCCAGGAAAAAGATCTAGGTGATTGTGGGGTAGGCAAGGGGAGAAAGACTTTTCACTATAGCCCTTGCAAGTTTTTGAATTTTGAGCCATTATAGATCAATGACTTATTTTTTAACCTAAGATTGAATTAAAACATAAAAATAATTTCATTTTCCTGCCTATTGCTATTTTCCATATAAGTAATATATAATGACATATTATTGTAATATATAATTCACAAGAAACCCTTCTGATAGACAGTAAGATTAATCTCCTTACAAACCATGAAATAGTGGCTACTCTGACACCAGTGACAGCGCTGGAATGTCTGAACCCTTTCACAGTTACTGAATGCCATTCCGTGCTGACGGGGTTTGCTCACTGCCCACTTGGGCTTCATTCAAATAAGTGTCATGGAGTCTGATTTGATCTTAAGTCTGAAAAGATCTTACAATATTGTTGCTTTTCTTGCACCTGGGCAAATAAAAATACAGTACAAAGTTTTCAAATAACATTTTGTTGGGCATCTTGCTGTACTTTTGCTTATAGCTGTTTGCTTTTCAAAAATGAAACTCTGCTGCTTTTTTGTCTGTTATAATAGTAACAGTCTTATTATTTTTAAAAGTTGTACAACAGAGACAAATTAGATGGAATGGCATGAGAAATACCCTCCTTCAGAGATGACTGCTAATATTTTGGCATATTTTCCTTTTTGCATAATTAAGGTCTGAGGTTTCAAGATGATTGATCATGGTGTATTTTTTTTTTTTAATGATGTGGTCATCGAGGCTAACTTTAAGTCAAGATGATCTCTTTTGGCATTAAACACAAGCTTTAACAAACACAGCTAGAAAAAAGGGGGGTGTGGGGCCTGAATTTGGCTCCATCTTCCTAAACCCAGTTGATAGTCGTTACACACTTACATCATCACAGTTCCAGAACTGCCCTTCTGCTTATGAAAATTTATATGAAATACTCTCTCTATTGACAGTTTCTATTACCTGGCTGAAAATATTGAAATTATTGAAATTATCCCACTAATAACACTAATACTGTTAATAGCCAAGACCTACATAGTCATCACCATGTTCCAGGGACTGTACTAATTACTTACGTGAACTCACCTAATCTTCATAACAACCCTATTACTCACTCATAATGTTATCACTCCCATTACCAAAAGAAGCAATGTGAGTACCAGAACTCCACACAGTTTCTTACACATCAACTCTGTTCCAGATTTCCTCAAAATTGGTGGAAGTTTGGAGTTGGGGGTTGGTCTTGCTCTGTGAACTTAAACATCTGATCCAGAGAGTTGGCTAATTGTTGGAGAAATCTATACAATGTGATACTTAAATTACATCTGCTGCTCCAGTTTCGATCAAAGCTGACAGAGCACACATACAATAATATAAACACCTGTGTATACCTTCTGAGAACTCAGTTATCCAAAACCAGAATTTGGGGAAGTTGAAGCACTAGAGTTTGTTTTTTGTGGTTGTTGTTGTTTTAACCATGGCTGCTTTTTAAGTCACAACATTTAAAATGAGATTTTTTTGGTGCTGTTTTCTTTTAACTTCAATCACATGTCTGTGCTTTCTAGCCACAATCATTCCTTTAGGGCATAAAATAGACATACAACATAC